TCTTTAAAAAAATTTGTATTTTTATTTTATGTGTATGAGTGTTATGCCTACATGTATATAAAGTGCACTTCTGTGGAGGACAGAAGAGGGTATCAGGTACTCTGGAACTGGAGTTAGGGATGGTTGTTAGCAGCCATGTAGGTGCTGGGATTCAAACACAGGTCTTCTGCAAAGGCCGTCATTGCTTTTAACTGCTGAGCCATCTCTCCAGCCCATAGAATGCTCCTATAGTATCCATGACATGATAATGAATGGTGCCAGAGCTGCATCTTATCTGCTGTGAATGATTTCCGTTCTCAGAGGTTCAGGTCCTCTACTCCATCCTGATATCTTCCTCCTTGATTATTGTGTTGTTTTTATTTTACATAGGGTCTCCCTATGTAGTCCTGACTGGCCTGGAACTCACTATATAGACCAGGCTGGCTTCAAACTGGCATAGATCTCCCTGTCTCCTGAGTGCTGGGATTAAAGACATGCACCACCGTGCCAGGTTCTCCTTGATTATGTAAACAGAACTATAGCATAAAAGCTTCATGCTCTAAACCAAATCATTAATAGAGAAAACTATGGAAAACTCTTTAAGCACCAATCTTGTATGTATATTTTGAGGCAGATGTCAATTTGTGGGGACGGAATCACTCCATTTGGAACAGGAAGAAAAGGAAGAAGCAGGGCATGGAAACGTGTTCTGACATTTTTGTCTTAGATAACTTTTAAGGGTCTGGGGCCTTAGTTAATGGGCACTTGTCAATCTTTCCCTTAAACAAGACTCAGAAGTTTCTTTGCTGGCGATGGGTGGAAGGTAGGGGGTGTTCCTCTCACATTGTACTTTCTCTGTGCTTACATTTCTGCTGGATGGGGTTGCTGTATGGTTAAAAAAATCAAGCTTAGTTGCAGGTTTGCTAAACAAAGAAGGGTGCTAAGCATCTCCCACTGAGAAGTTCAGTGGATCGCGACTTCTTGTCCGTGACCCCCCCCCCCGCCCGCGCGCTTTACCTTAGCTCTTTAATGTCTTTTGCAAGGGAAGTGGGATGTATTTCTTTCTTTGCTCAGTGAGCAGTTTGGACCTGCTTCCTCTGTGTGGCTATTCAAAGGGGGAAAACTGCTTGGAAGCACATTTCAAATCCTTTCAGGATTCAGTAGCGTCACAGTGCTCTGGGCAGTTTTCCCTACGGGTGTACACCCATCTCTAAGTTATCTGCGCACAGAAAAAACCAGAAGGTGTTCGGGGGTTGGAGTGGGGGCTATTCTCTGCTGTTTGAAAGCGATTCATTATCAGCGTGGATGGAGAAAAGAAAGCTGTGTGCTCCTTCTTCTGAGTACTGACCTCTGGCCATCCTGATACCTCCCTGATGACATCAAGCTGGCCTTGTTTGCTGTGGGGAAAGAGCCTTGTCAGGAGATTTCCAGTCAAGTCAGTGGATGCTGATTTAGCTCTTCTTCATTAAGTTTTATGGTTGGAGGAAACAAGAGCCTTGCCCAACACATTGATCCCAGATCTTCATAGCCATAACATTTACTTTAAATGTGGTAGCCACAGTCCAAAGCCAAATCAATTTCTCTCCTGACAGGTAGCTTATCTGTGGCAGAGAGCTGGGTTTTCTTAAGATTTTTTTTTTTTCCTCTCTCTACTTGATGCTGCTCTTAAAGGTTGACTCCTGGAACTATCTTGCACATGGTGCTGGGGGCAGGGGAGATGGGGGAAGGGAAACGAATGCAGCCCTCACCTGGCCTTTTGTGTCTCTGGAAGTCAGAATCAAAGGCACTTTGGCAAAGCAAACCATTTCAAGAATGAAAAGAAAGCAATTGTCCTAAGTACTAACTCGGTTTTGGACTATTACAAAATAAAGAGCAGAATAAATGTAAAATTGTAGTAATCTATTTAAAATGTTTCTTTTTTCTTTTTTTTTTTTTTGCCTTGGAGTTTGATCTTATTAATTTGTTACTCAGAAGTAGAAACTCCCAGAGAGAGAACAGAGTGACACCTGGCAACCTGTCCCTGTTTTTTCTTTGTTCTTCATTCCCTTGGCAGAAGTCAGCATGTTCTGCAGCCTCTTCCCTATTTTTTTGAGCACTGTTTTTCAGGGCAATATGCTGGCATGAGTGCTGGACATGGGGAGTGACCACACGCTGAGTCTTGGTTACTTTGGCCTTAGCTTTCTTATCTGACAAAGTATTGGCAACTGCACCTTCTTTAGAGAGATTACATAGTCTGTAGCTTCTTTTAGACGCCACTTGTTGAGGCACAGCAGTAATAGTCAGCCCTGGAATGTCCTTTCCTCTGTGCCCCAGTAACCAAGTTGGGAACACACAGGTGTTTGCATCCCATGATGAACAGACTTGCCCTTCTCTTCTTTTTTCCTTGGACTGTACCGGGAATGCCCCTTACAGAGCCACAGGTACACATGGCTGTGGTGGAGCCACCTGCTGTGCTGGGAAGTCTTTGTTCCTACCACTGATTTAGACTCCACACCCTTTCAGTCTTGACTCTGCATCTCTTGGGGCTACAGATGTCCCATAAAAAGTATGAAAGTTGTGCTCATCATTCACTTTAGAGTTTCCAGCAGCCAGTGTCTGGGAGAATTCAGTTTCTTCTTGAGGCAACTGAGGTGCATGGGAAAGAGCCTTCCATTGAAACCAGGTGATTTGAGTGGCAACTTAGATATGGAAGGACACTTACTGGTCTGATTTTTGAATTTCCGAAGATGGGAAGATTTAGGCTTATTCCTTTAACATACAAAACTGGGAAAAGATGAGTTGAAAGATCATTTTGCTTAAAGTGTGAGTTGTTAATGTTGGGACAAGGTTAATGCAGTTTGCAAGGATTCTGTTCATAGTTTCTGTTTCAAAAGATCTTGGGACCATCCAAACAATTATCTGGAATGTCTTTATATGCCTGTAAAACCTCAAATTGGGTTCTTCAATGCAATTTTAGCTTCAAGGCAGGACTCTGCTCTCTCACTTTGAAATCTTCACTAAGACTCACCTTTTTTGGTTAAAAAGAAACCTGAAGACAATCTGAGAATCACTGGGAAAACAATCCTCAATGACAAAGATAATTAGACCAAGGAAGAAACATATCTGTGTGAAGGAAGGTACTGAAAGATATAAAAAGCAAACATTTAGCTGGAAGTCATGGCACGTGCCTGTAATCCCAACAATGGGGAGGCTAAAGCAGGAGGATCACCAGTTTCAGGCTAGCCTGGGCTACATAGTGAGTTTCAGGTTAACCTGTGCTACAGAGCAAGACTCTGCCATAAAATTCACAAAATGAAACAAGCAAACACCAAAGTGGATAGTTAAAATATTTAAAAAGCTGCTTAAGATCCTCCTCCTCCTCCTCCTCCTCC